TTTTTAAGTAAGCAAGCGTACAGCAGCTATATATACCTGGGTATACTGCGCACTTCTCTATAGCTCATATTTTATATACGAGGCCCGGTATATGGGTACGATGCCCGAGGAAGCGAGGCGTGCGTGTGCCCGGCACGAGCGGCTACGACAACGACTCGACGCGACCCATGCGAGAAAGAGATACGTCGTACGCACTGATGGACGCGCGCAGGACACCTCGAACCGACCCGTCTCCTCTTTTCTCTCGAACCCTCCCCCTTTTCGTATATAATGGCGTGCAGGACGAGGCAACAATGACTTGCCAAGTGCGCGCGGCTGCACACATTGTTGCTTCGTCGTAGCAGTAGTCGTCGTTGCTGCTTCTGCTTCTTTTTCTTCGGTTTCTCCTTTTTTCCAACCGCATAATTGTCCTACGTCGAGGTAATTGTTTCCCATATCTTTAACTGTTGATCGATGTATGGGTCCTACCCCATTCGCAGCAGAAGAAGAGGATGACGTACAAAAATACGTGAGCATGTGTGCGAGTTACCGTTTTGAGAGCTTTGTTTACGTACGCAGAGATGCGTACGCGACGCAATTGAGTTGCAGCTTTTCAAATTTCGTAATCGATAAAAATTCCAGCAGAGACGATATAGCATATTTAAAAAAATTAGTACAAATTACAAAAGAAATCGGCCTTCGGCGAGAATGACAAGTTCATCCAAACAATGTTTCTTTTGTTTCTCGAACTTTTGTATTACATTATAATACATAATAGGTCGATGGGTATAACAGCAACAGCAGTGGCCGCCCATACAAAACGAATTAATAAATACTCATACAGTACTTGGAGCAGTTATGGAAAATTATAATGATCCTTCTGGACGCAGCTTGAGCTACCACTACTACTACGTACTATATAATGCGTCGTCGCGTATACTAATGATCGTGCAAATGGTGGAACCTTATAATTTCGAATGGGCGAAAGTCGCTCGCGTACATATGCAACATAATGTAAGTATTACGTCGTATACGAGTACCTACACATACACGTATGTGTACTAGCTCGAGTCAAAGGGGGTCGTACTCATCCATACGATAGAGCGTAGGACGAGAGTCGGTTGTCGACGCGCAGTGGTCGTCGCGCGCGAAAGCTCAACAGCCGGAACGTCGTTCGCGATGATGACGATCGTCGTCGTCAGATCGGACATCGCAGTTGCCCGCAACCATTAGAGAGTGACATGTGCTACGAAAAGCCCAAAATAAAAAAAACACAAACTCCCTTTATAGATGGTGTAAAAGACGAACTCCTCCGAAGCGCGCAGTAATTTGTGCGTTAACGCGGGCGACGCGTGCCACGCGCAAACACTTCAGGTGGGTGGATCGTCGTCGTCGGGCCCTCTTACGAACCCTAGGATTCGGCTGTATATTTTTTTTCCAAGCTCGTTGTAACGAGTGCGTATACCTTCGCAATTTTTTTTCTGACCGTACACAGGTGCGCGACGACGCTCGTTGTTGCTTTTCACGCGACTCAAGGTATACGCGCGTGACTCGTGTGCAACGTGTGCGTGGGGAGGCGCGCACGACGTGTATAAAAATTAAGCGCATCAGCTGCCTACGAGGTATACATGGATGGATGTCGAGAAACGACATAGAGTTCAAGAATGCGAGCTTCGATGGAGCTATTAAGAACTCGTTACGATCGCGGACCGCTGCTGCTACACAATAGTTGAAAAAAAAAAAAAAAAAAACGCGTCGTTAGCACTGACCGTGACGAAGTATGATTAATTTAGTACTAATGAATATAATAAGTATCTATGATTCCCTTCGCGTTCCCAAATCGACCCTCTCGATCGTGCCAATGTCCAAAGCTTATGACGAGCTTGAACGAGCGAGATCGAGCGAGAGTGAAAAATTTCACGAAAAATTGACGTCGTTAATACAGCTCGCGCGTGTGTGGCTCGATGTAAATTTTTTTTTTCTCTTTCTCTCGACTGGACGTTATATCGAGCTTTTTTCCTCTTACGTGTATCATCTACGTAGATTGAAATCTCTAAAAACTCGATCTCGTGCGGAGTTTGACAAATACGAGCCGATTAGTATATCTCTCTCTCTCTCTGCTCGGCGCTGTATAATAATATAGTCGCAAGAAGTTCGCGCTAAAACTCAAGTGCTGTGTAGCTATGCTAGGCTCCGATATAATATGCGACTTTTGGCTCACACTCTTGACGCATATTATACCATTATTACATTCGAAGAAACGCTATAACGCCGCCTCGACGTATATATACACACACAAGGCGACTCTGCGTGTGCTGTTGCGTTTCTCACGACGGCGCGACGACGACGACGACGACGACGACGACACATTGTTGCCGCATGCTGAGAGTAAGAGCCAAGCTGAGCTGCGCACATTGCATACGATTTTACGCGTATGTTTGTATGTATGCGAAATGGCCAGCTTGTGTTCGTAACGTCGATAAGAGATTTATAGAGAAGGACGATAGGCGATAGGAGTGCAGCTATTTGCCTGCGTCGCTGATTTTTCATTCGCGCAACGAGCTCGTGTGTAATTATGCTCGCGAGCCAACGTATGGAAATTCTATACCGATAAAATATGTAACAGCTTTTTTCCTTCTTTCGTTCTCTATCAGTAACGATTAATTACTGATGTACACATAAATGTGAGGCAAAATTAAGGCACGACACAGTTATAATTCGTACATGGCCCAGAGTTTTTTGTTCCGGTTTCTGATTGCGATAAGCATTCACGGACTTGGCGAACTTCAATCATCGACCGGATCTTCCGAGTCTACAGCAGATTGGAGGTCAAAAAAAGAGAGCTAAAAGCACTTCTAATTTGCAATTGTATCAAGAATTCCGAAAACTAGCCTCTGATAAGGATATGAAACAATTGCAGGCTCGTTAACGTCTGCGCGCGCGTGACTCGGTATCTCGTGTCGTCGTTTCGGAACTGACTGACTGTGCACAACTGCATTATCTCATCTCTCGAGTCCTGCGTGCACATTGACGATCGTATGCGTGGCCTGCTTTTTAGTCGCATGTGTTTCTCGTCGTCTTCTTCTATCTGGAGCATCGATGATTGCACAGAGCTCGCATATACGTTTTCGGTCATCGATTTGCACTTGTGTATCTGCGTCGAGAGTCGTGCAGTGCACGTGTACCGAAATTTCTCAATGAAAGTGTCACCCTTGACGCCGAACGACGCGAGTTGCGTCATCCGAGGACGTAGCAGCGGCAGCAGCACCAGTCAAGGGGAAAAAAAAGCAAAACATGTGCGATGTGTGTATATACATAGGAGAGCAAAGAAGGCGTGGATGTGTTTGTATATCGCAGCCGTCGTGGGTGCGCGACAGAAATCTTCATTTTTTTTTTCACGCTTTGCAGCAACAGCAGCAGTAACAGTAAAGGCAAGAGAATTTCATGAATGAACTTGTGTCGCATACTATATAGGCCCAAGCGGACGTCAATCGTCATGAGATGGCGTCGTTTATATACGCGCAGAGCAATATTCAGGCAGTTCCGCTTCTTCCTTCTTTATCTTCTTTTCCTCACCCATATATATATATAATCCGTCGCGTTGTTGTCCCACACGTCGGTGCGGTGCGCATTTAAAATATAACTACATCACATGCGAGAGCGGCATTTGCTATCCTACATAATAATACACACATACGTGGCATTCAGTGCATGAGATATGTGTGTAGCGCCCGGCGCGCGATCTGCCCTTATCATTTTCGACTCTCGCATGCGCTCGTGTGCAGGGTTATATCTGTGTGAAGCAACTGAGCGGCGTCGGACAACTACGCGCGCGCATGCGATTCCCAGAAGGACGCTCGTAAAAATATCGGCGAGCATAGTGAGTCGCACAACACGCGTCTGCGGCCGCAGACGCGACCGTCGCCGCTGCTCCTTATACTGCACTCTTGTGTTACATATTATATCTATAACGTGCTGCAAGTTCTCTTTCGCTTATTGTATCTTATTAGATTTAGAGACACTTTTTGTCATCATTTTTTTCTGTGGAAATGTAGCCATATCGGGGCTTTTTTTGTTTGCTTTCACTCTCATGATCTTGGGTTTGACATCGATTGGAGGCTTGCAAGCGCACGAAAATATCCGTGCTTAACGAATTTACTACTTTCTTGTTTTATTTTTATTTCAATTTTTTGGGATGATGAATTTTAATACGATCGTTACGTTTAATTTATCGATTCGAGCGTGCATTAAAGAGGAATCGAGTCACGGATTTTGATGCATCCGGCTTTAAAGTGCTCCTTCTTATAAGTCGTCAGAAATTCCGCCTTGTGGATTATAGGTCGAGAGCCTTGTTTTCCATTAATACACATAGAAGAAAAGAATCGTAAAGTAAAACTTGGCTTGAAATATTTTTATGAATCGATCGAGATTACACTGAGAAAAAAAATGCTTTTAAACATCTGCCTTTGTGTAATTTCAGGTATAAAATATTATAATCAAGAAATAAAATAATAATTTTGAAACATCTTTCGTGCATTGTTTTTTAAAAAATATAATTGTTTTGATTGTGAAAATCGACGAATAGGCGTTTTAAAACATTCATTTTCAACATGACTCCTGTTATTCCTTCAAGAAAAGGTAGGTATATGACATAAAAAGGTAATTTCGTAAAAGCGCGCCAAGATCGTTCGCTGCGGTAAGCGGAAAACGCGCAAAGCAGCGCTGCGAAATTGGCGAAATTGAAGCAGAACGCACTCGAGACCACGGTAAAGTCACTCAGACTCGGTATACCTACATAGATATATACGGTGTTGCGCGGTGCATGCGCGCGCGCTCCCTACATGCGATGCGGAACTTCTGCCGCCGGCAAGACACAACTGGGCAGATTCGCGCGCAAAATCCGAGAGCAGCCGGTTTTTTCTCGCTCCGTCTTCGTCGCACTCGTTGCTGCGGCAGCTCCAAACATAATACACACGCACACACATACATTGCAAGCGGCTCACATGTGCGCGTCTGTGAATTCGGCGCGCTGCCGATGATGTTGTGCCGCGTACGCTTCACGGGCGAGCGAATTTCGTAGGTTAAAAGCCGCCCGGTCTGTACGCGAAAGCTCTACGTAAAAATTGTGTAAAATAGTCAGAAAAAAGGGAGAGAAAGAGAGAGAGAGAAAGTATAAAAATAAAACAACGATGATAGTCCAAACTGGGCGGTAGAGCATCCACACGGAGCTTGGTTAAACAGCGTTAACGTGTATCGAGCAACAACAACTATGTGCTTGGGTGCGTGTGCGCGAAACAAATTCGATGGACGCAGTTGACGAGTGTGTGTGTACACAACAACACGAGAAAAAGTTATCGCGACGACGACCGCTGCTGCTGCTTTTGCTGCCGACTGCACGTCTATCGCGACGAACCGAGAGATAGGTATAAGATATAGCATAAGTATCGAATAGCAGAGAAGCGAGCGAGAGAGAGTGAGCGCCATCGGACGCGGCGAAAAAGTTTAGCCAGCAGAAGAGGCACACCGACAGACAGACAAGGCGCTAGGCTAGCCGCGTGCTCCGACTTGATCGCCACTGCTGCCGTATCTTCTAGTCCTGCTCGAGGTAAGCATCATACACCTATGTAGAGTAATGGTTTTTTGTCTTGCGCGGGCGTCCTCGTGTACACCACCCATGTGTATAATGTAGGCGTGCCTAGCACATAATCTCGTTGCGTAAAAACGAGCCAGATCGCGGCGTTTCGAACTTTCGACTCTGCGTGCGGAGCACGCGCGCCATCGAGCATCTTTCTCTCTCTCGCTGCTGCTTATGCCTTATGCTGCTGCTGTGCGCGACCGTGTGTGTCTACGTGTGTGGGTGCATAAGGTTTTCGTATACGCATCTATATTTACTCGAGATGAGCTGCGCGATGTCGGGGCTGCGTTTCGTCGAGTGATCGATTAGTCTGATCTAAGCCTCGTTATTTTTGTAAACTTAGGCTTTCCGAATGCAATTATATGGTGTATGTATTTTTAGAGAGCAGCCGTGTTTCGGTAAAAAGTACGCGGTTTGTGACCCGACACGATGGCGGCGACGGTGGCGCTGCACTGCCGCCAACTCGACCAGCTGATCGTCGTCGTGTGCACACAATGTATTACACATACAATGTTCGCTGCGACTGTATTGAAGCCCGTGTAAACAAGACACGCATGCGATTTTGTTACGTGAAATAATAATTTTCAAAGCTTTCGCGAATGGTTTTTAACACAGTGATTGTGTTTTCAAAAATATCTCAATAACTTTTCCTTGTTTCTAATGCTTCTCATCATGAGTTTAAATAATTTTGTTGAAAAGAAATAACAAATGTAGATATTTGTTATTCTACTAGTCTACTTCTAGTTTACTACTGAAACATTCTGCATTGATAACTAAGTTTTTACATAATAACACAAAAATTGAGTCTCAATATGTGATAATAAGATATGTTGTGAAGGAAGCTGCTGGATTCAATAACCTAGTAACTCTCAAGTTTTTATTCATTATATTATGATAACTTATGCTTATTGTCAAATTTATAGTTTCTATATTATTAGATTTGATCATGTAATTAGTTGATTGGTTTAAAGTTCAATTATTAGAAGTAACTACTATCCTGCATTAAGTAAATGTATAGCAAATCATCTTGTATTTTACATGGACAAATGGTATTTAATTCAATAGCAAGTATAAACACATGAATTTGTTATCCCTTACACAGATGTTTTCTTGTTAGTAAATTTTTTATTGATTGAAATCACATATAAACTAAATATATACAATCATCTTATGTTGGAACTGGATACTGAACTGTCTAACGCAATAGCAAGTGTAACAACATGCGCTTAATATATTTGGAGCAAGTATTTTTCAGATAATGAGTTGTTGATTGACCAATTGTTAAACTTTTGTAAAAAAGTAACAATGTCATAGTGTCTATTTGCTCTTGATTCTAAAGCTTTGAACTATCTACCTGCATTAGGAGATTAACACAAATATTAAAATATATCAATGCGATGAGCTTGGAGATCTGTCAAGTTTCAACAAACACCTAAAATTTGATAATAAAACCAAGCAATGATTTGTACAGTCATAAACATGACCATGATATGCTATCAATTTTATGCCAGTCGTTATTAGACTCTATTAGCCTTCTACTGCGACACAAGGCAGAAAACGCTTTTATGCGTTTTTAACGCAACCGCAGAAAACAAGCGAGGCCTAGTGCTTCCCCGACTAATAAGACAATATCAACATTGGCGCGGAATGTTTGCGGTTTTCTCAAGACGTCCTCGTGGTGTGCAACAACAACAAAGTATAACGACGAGTCGCGATCTCAATTTGACAAGTTATCAAAAGAAATAACTGTTTCCGCCGTGCGCAGCGCAGCGCAAGGGACGAAATAACTTCCTCCTCCTTCTTCTTTTGGGCGAATTGGCTTATTATTAATTGGCATGGGCAAGAACCTATGCAGCCCGCGCGCTGGACAATAGAGAGCCTCCATGCACCAGCATAATATAAATATTACGAGAGAATTGCCCGCCTCGCGGTTCAAGGCGTTTTGCCCTATGCGTCGACCGAGAAAAAAAGGAAGAATAAGAAAGGTGCATTCCCTCTCGCTCGTATCGTTCCGGGGCGCTATATGCAGTCGGTTTTTTTTCGTAATAATTTGCTCCGCAAGTCGTTGCGCCAAGGCACATGAGCGGCGGCGGCGGCGGCGGCGGCGTTCGGTTTCGTTGCTGTGCTGTGCGTGTATTATATGAAATGCCGTCGCCGCCGACGCAGTTCTAATATCTCGCGCGCCACCACTTTTGTAAACAGGAAGTAACGGCCATTTATCATAAAAAGATGGAAAAAAGTGCAGAGTTCGAACCCTAGGTCTCCTCGCACTCTCTTTCGCTCTCTCCCATTCTATTCTCTCGGATCGGCGCGGAGCCACGTCTGTGCGCCGGTTTATACATTTAAGTGTTAGATATCTGCCTGAGTGCAGTGCGGGATCGCACATATACTTACGCATCGACACCATCGAAAGATAGGAAGAGAGAGAGAGCGAGAGAGCGAGAGAAAGAGCCCACGGTTCACTGGCAGAGCAGAGGAGGAGGAGAGCGTGAAAAAAAACGCACACACCACCGTGTACGAGGCTGCTACGAAAACCAAGGACAGATTAAAAATTGCGTGCGCGTTGGCGGCTCCTCTCTCTCTCGCTCGCTCGTTCTCTTTTTCGCTTTGCGAGAAGCGTATATAGTAGTACAGGTTGTCGGGACCACTGACTTTAAGGGATTCCAGATCTCGAGTCGCTCTTCTTAGAAGGGATCTAAGGCCTCCGATATAAACATACCAGCTCGAAGCACTGTACCTAAACCCTATACGCATACAGCAGCAGCAGCAGAGCCTATGTCCAGCCCTAAAGTTAGAGCATATAGTAAGACAAAGAGAAAACGCAGAGGCATGCAGAAGAGGGCCCTTTGAAACCCAAAGGTATATGTAGAGAGCGAGAGAGGGAAAGAAAGCAAGAACAATTAGAAGTAAAAGAATTGCGATCGTATAACCGGGACAAGTTGTTTTTTCATGTTTTGGCATTCTTGCATTTGTTTAAAATTCCCTTCGTATATTATACGCGCGCGGCTCGATTGGCTCTTTCAACCGATCGGGCCCGACTATAACTCCGATTTTTCAAAGTTGCGTGCATTGTGCAACTCGTTACGCGCCGAGACGATTTTTCGATGCATCGACCGATCGAGTCGCAGCGCACACACTCACGCACAAAAGCGAGGGCCACTATTATTATGAACTTTAATTTTTTCGTTTCATGACTGACTCACGACGCGTTCCTCGTACTACGTACTATCTTTTTATTTTATCAGCGGAATCGCGTCGTCTCCCTGTTTATGAAGTCGTTTCGTTCACTCTCTCTCTCTCTCTGTTTCATCTTCATAAATTCATCGTAATTAACTCAATTTCGAGCCCGTCGATTCGCGCGCGTTTCGCTGGAAATTCGAAGGGCGTCATTTGTGCAGTTGACAAGAGTTTGTCCGCAGTGCGCGACAAAAAAAGCAACATCGCGTTTCGTTTATAGCGCAGCGCGCCGATTAGAATCATCATCGAAGCTCTTATCCTATAAAATATATATAGTGCATTGCCCGACAGACGAGAATTTGAAATAAGGCGTCGCGCATCGATGATGTGTCATGTGAACTTTTGGACTGACGCTTCCCTATACACAAAGTGCGCGGAGCACTTGGACGACGATTTGTCGCGATTCGACTTACGCGTCTGGACTTATTTTCATTTGAACCTCGCCCTATTGTATTTCGCACATTCGGCATTCTCACCCATCCCAAAACACGTTCTGGTGCGTGTATAAATATACCCGCGTGGCTCGTCGTAAGGTCCTTACTCTTCCTCCCTTATTCCACGCTGCGCATTCCAATTTTTTTCGGCCATTTCTAATTTTCGAGATTAATATGGTCTATCAGCCAGCGCGAGGCTCCTCCGTACAACACACGTATGTGGAATATGCTTTTCAAAAAACGCAGAAAAAAGGCCAGCAGTCAATCGAATGAGTTGCATACCTGGGCTGGCTTCGGCGAAACAATTTTCATCGTGCTTGCGCGCCCCAGTCCTCTTGTATATCCGAGTATGCGTATAGAGTAATTTCAAAAATTCTACCGAAACTTCGTTTAATGCCTTTATTTCGAGCAATTGCACCTTGACAAATATTTTCAAATGCGGGGGGAAAGGAAGGAAAAAAAATCAGAGTTTAAACGTCGGGCGAGAAAAATGTTTGTAGTTGGAAGCCCAAAGCTCCCGAGAGTCATATGAGGCACACTACACACAAACGAGTTGTAGCGCGCGAGTCATTAAAGTCAATAAACTCGAACACCCAATACCACGAGTTACATACACTGTATGTTTTAATTCATGCAGGCTATAAATATGTCACTGTACAAAAAAAAAAAACGAGAAAGAGAGACAGAGAAGCACCAATGATCACCTATGGGACCATCCCACTTTACCGTTCCCATCGCGCGTCCCAAATATAAGTAAATATTAATGTAGGCATCGTACGCCGTCGCCGCCACCACCACCACCACCGACGCTGCGCATCTTCAGAAGTTAACGCGTAGGATATATAATATATGTACGCCGGGAAAGGGTTCGTCAAGCGAGCACATGTGACGGCATTTGCTTTCGTGCATGCGAGACGCGCGCGCATATCTACACACGGGTAAACGCGTTCCTTATCAAAATAGTAATCATAGCATCGCTTCCCACGCCGCAAATGAATTTCGAGCGTGAATTATATACTTGAATAATGCAGACATTCGGAGAGTGCAAGGCGGCATTAGCATTAGCGGCGTCAGCACCTGGGTTGGGTCCGATTTCATTGGCGAAATATGCAGTGCACGTACGCGACACTTTAGGGGTGCGATCGCCCAACAGCGACGACGACTGCGCGACGAAAAATAAAGAGAGCGAGCCTGCAAAAAAATGATGTCATTAAACTGCAGGGGTCGCAAAAGCGTGTGAGGTCAGGTTGGATATAAAATATGTCCTAGTTCATCCTCGATGGCTTTGAGTGACTTTTA